CATAAAAACATTTGTCGTAAACGTTTTTACAGTGAATAAAATGAATTGTCTTCGCTGCAGAAATGCATACACTATGAAGTACTCCAGTCATTACTGTTTGTATTATTATAACCGTTATTAATAATAACAATAATTAACATTAGAGTGATTTCTAAAGGATCACGCGACTCCATGTGAGGCCACAGTGCTAACCGCTGAGCTGCCCGGCTTTAAAATTGTAATATATTTGTCACGGTATGGTCATGGTATTTACATGGATCGCTAATGGACTACAAATCAACCATTTCATGGACTACAAGATCCAGTCATGCACCACACACACACACACACACACAGCAGTTCCCAATCCTGACTGATTGCATACACACAGCTGGAGGATTGTCAAAGACTGATTATTTAAGCAGCACACACACACACACACTGTTGCTGAGTCTTGTTTACTGCATTGTGGCTTGCTATGCCGTGGACCCTCGTCTTGTTTGTTTGTTTGTTTGTTTGTTTGTTTGTTTGTTTGTTTGTTTGTTTGTTTGTTTGTTTGTTTGTTTGTTTGTTTGTTTACGACTCTGGATTGCCTGTGTATATCTGCTTACTCCAGGTTTGACCTCTGCTTTCCTGAGCATTCTCTGTTTAATAAACCTGCATTTGGATCAACGTTGTCAGCGTCACATCATGTTACAATATTATTTATCAGGAAAATGCTTTTTGATTAAGGGATTTTTTGATATTCAGACTAAAAACAAGGCAAATACTCTAAGCGAGAAAGCAACTGTTGTGTTTTTGCATTGATTTGGGAGTTATATAGGACACCCTCGCTCAGATTTCGTGAGATTCAGCCACTTTATCTAGTGTTGGTCAAGCAAATATTTCAGAAATCTACATCCACAGAGACTCAGAGGTAGCCATTTCCCAATCTGTCCCACAGGAGACAGCCGATTCAGTAACAACACAACAAATATAATGTAAAAAATAAAGGTAAAGAGCTGTACTGCTGCTGCTAGTGCTATAATCTAAACAAAACATTAATACTCCATGAAGAAACTTTAGTATGAGGAAATTCTCTTTGCATTGGAAGAACTTTGTTTTTTTTTTCTTATCAGGGCGGCACGGTGGCTCAGTGGTTAGCACTGTGACCTCACGGCAAAAAGGTTGCTGGTTCGAGTCCTAGCTGGTGTTTCTGTGAGTAGTTTGCATGTTCTCCTGTGATGGCGTGGATTGCAGCTGGAAGGGCATCTGCTGCATAAAACATGCTGGATAAGTTGGCGGTTCATTCTGCTGTGGCAACCTCTGATGAATAAAGGGATTAAGTCAAAGGAAAATGAAAGAACGAATGAATGAGATAATCAAATGCCAATAAAAACCTTTATATTTTAATAAAAGGTTGTTTGAGGGTTTCTTATAACAAGGGTGTTTGTTCCCTTAAAGCAGGGGTGTCAAACTCAATTCCTGGAGGGCCGAAGCCCTGCACAGTTTAGTTCCAACCCTGCTCCAACACACTTACCTGTAGGTTTCAAACAAGCCTGAAGGACTCAATTAGTTTGATCAGGTGTGTTTAATTAGGGTTGGAACTAAACTGTGCAGAGCTGCGGCCCTCCAGGAACTGAGTTTGACACCTGTGCCTTAAAGGGACAGTTCACCCAAAAATAAACATTTGCTCACTATTTATTTTCTTGCTGCTTAGTCCCTTATATTTCAGGGGTTGCCACAGTGGAATGACCCACCAACTATTCCAGCACATGTTTTACACAGCGGATGCCCTTCCAGCCGCAACCCAGTACTGGGAAACACCCATACACAATCATTCACACACAAACACACACACTCATACACTAAGGTCAGTTTAGTTGATCAATTCCACTATAGCTCATGTGTTTGGACTGTGGGGGAAACCAGAGCACCAGGAGCAAACCAATGCCAACACGGGGAGAACATGCAAACTCAGAAATTACAACTGACCCAGCCGGGACTCGAACCAGTGACCTTCTTGATGTGAGGCCACAGTGATAACCACTGAGACATTGTGCCACCCTATTTTAACCATTTCTGAGTTCCTTTCTTCTGTTCAACACAAAAGAAGATATTTTGAAGAATGCTGTTGACTGTTGACTGCCAGAGTAAGAAAAACAAATGGAAGTCAATGGTTACAGGTGTCCAACATTCTTCCAAATATCTTCTTCTGTGTTGAACAGAAGAAAGGAACTCAGAAATGTTTGAAACAGCTTAATGATTTTCAGTTTTGGGTGAACTGCCCTTTAAGGAAATGTGGTTGCACTGCAAAAAATAAAGATAAAAATGCTTGTCTTACTCAGAGTTTTTGTCTTGTTTCTTGTCCAAATATCAAAACATTCTTAAATCAAGAAGCAATTTGTAGACAAGCAACAATATTGTCTTGTGTTCAGAAATAATGAGGCAAAATGAGGTGTTTTCACTTAAAACAAGCTAAATAATGCCAATGAGCAAAGCAAAATAATCTGTTTTTTGTTTTTTTTCATTTTTGGCAAGATTATTTCACTCACCCTATCGGCAGATTATTTAATCCGTTTTAATTTAAAAACTCTGTTCATTTTGACTGATTTCTGAAGAAGAAAATGATGCGAGGGCTCATATTTCCCCCAGAAAACAAGAAAAAATATACAGTATAATACATTTTGTTGTCCTTTTAAGGAGTCTTAATGCATTTTAAACATTGTTTTTGCTCAATATTTTAGTTATAAGTAGGGCAGTATATACACTTTAACTACAAATACTGTGCCCTGTTTTCTGTTGAATCAACAACTTCTTGTTATTAAAACAAGTACATACAGTAAAAACACTGATGCCAAATGCTAAAAGGAGGTAGGATATATAATACACATTATATCCTACAAAAAAAGGACCTATAATAAATTTTCCTTTAATGAAATAAGGCCTCTTTAGAAGTTTGAATGCATTTTGAACATTGTTTTTGGTTAATATTTTAGTTATAAGGGCAGTCGTTAACAAAAATGACGGTGCCTTATTTTGTTTTAGTTAAATCAATAACTATTTTAGTCAATAAAACTCACAAAAAAATTATGTAGATGTAAAACAAAATAGTTTGAAACGCGACTATCTTATTAAAATAAGTGCATACAATAAAAAACACTGATGCCAAATGCCAAAGTGAGGGGAGTTTTTAATCTGCCATTGGGGAAGCAAAATAATCTGGTTTCATTTTTGACAAAATTATTATTGCAGCTTTGATTATTGGCAGATCATTTAGCCTGTTTTAATTAAAAACTCTTAATTTTGACACAATCTGTTACGTTTCCATAAACAGCTTCTTGATTTAAGAATGTTCAGATGTTTAAGCTAGAAACTCTGAGTGAGAAAAGCATAAGTTTTAGCAGTGTATGGAAATAAATATGAGATATGAAGGGAAAACACGAATAAACCCACGCTGTCTTTCATCGCCCGTGTCCAATAGTCAGCTGGGGTTGCTGCATTGTCAGTCCTCAGTGGAGTGTTTTGGAAATATCGGGGCGGTCTGACGTTTATTTGTTCGTCTCTCTGAGCCGCATTTAGCGGTGCGTCAGACCGCTTTGTGTCTGTGAGATCTGATTGGCCTCCGTCGGAGAAAAAATGCCACCAATTTCCTGTTAGTTCCTGGGGGTTATGCGTTGTTTTTCCTGTCTCTGGGAGCCGAGGTTTTCCTTTTTATTTTTTTTGTTCTGCGTCCCCGCTGACTTCCTGAGGCCGATGAGCCGTTTGAGGCCTGTTTAGCACATTTAATCCATCTGCAGTGTGTTTGCGGTGCCGATTTTTAGTTTTCATGGCCATGTTAACAGCCTTCCCACTGCATGCAGTCACCGTCCGAAAATTGTGTTTAATAAAGTAACGTGTGTCCTGTTTTTGCACTGTTCAAAATAATTAGCATTTATTGACTGACATGGATATCGATCTCTTTACACGCTGCTGAAAATGCTCGTCTTACTGAGAGTTTCAGTCTTGTTTAATCCAAATATCTAGATATTCTTAAATCAAGAAGCATTTTCTGGACAAGTTCAAAATATAGTCTGATTTCAGACATAATGAGTCAAAATGAAGTGAGTTTTTAATTGAAACAAGCCAAATAATCTGCTTAATTATAGGGTGAGAAAAATAATCTAATAAGTGTATTGTCTGATCCTGTTGGCTGAATATTTTGCTTGTTTAAATTCAAAACTCACTTAATTTTGCCTCATTATTTCTGAACACAAGACAATATTGTTGCTTGTCTACAAATTGCTTCTTGATTTAAGAATGTTTTGATATTTGGACAAGAAACAAGACAAAAACTCTGAGTAAGACAAGCATTTTAGCAGTGAAGTCAATGGTTACAGGTTTTTAACATTCTTCAAAATATCTTCTTTTGTTTTTTTCATACAATCGAAAGTCAGACAGGTTTGGAACAAGTGGACTACTCATTCATTTAGTTTCCTTCGGCTTAGCCTCTTTATTTATCACGGGTCACCACAGCGGAATGACCCACCAACTGTTCCAGTATATATTTTACACAGCGGATGCCCTTCCAGCTGCAACCCAGTACTAGGAAACATCCACAGGTTGACTAAATAATGACAAAATGTTCATTTTTGAGTGAACTGCCCCTTTAAAAGGAGGCGTGTCCCCAAACCCCACCCCTAAACACAACCATAATTGGTGGATGAGCAATTCACATCATACAAATCCATCTATATCGGCTAAATATAGTGATAAATATTGTGATATAGTGGCTAAATCAGATGGATTTGTATGATGTGAATTGCTCATCCACCAATTATGGTTGTGTTTAGGGGTGGGGTTTGGGGACACGCCTCCTTTTAAAGGGGCAGTTCACTCAAAAATGAAAATTTTGTCATCATTTAGTCCACTTGTGGGTGTTTCCCAGTACTGGGTTGCAGCTGGAAGGGCATCCGCTGTGTAAAACATATGCTGGAATAGTTGGTGGGTTCATTCCGCTGTGGCGACTCCTGATTAATAAACTGGCTAAGCCGAAGGAAACTAAATGAATGAGTAGTCCACTAGTTCCAAACCTGTCTGACTTTCGTTCCTATGAAAAAAACAAAAGAAGATATTTTGAATAATGCTCGAAAACCTGTAACCATTGACTTCACTGCTAAAAACGCTTGTCTTACTGAGAGTTTTTGTTACTGAAAGCTACGATATCATTGGCTGCTTTAACATGGACGTCAGTAATCTAATTATTTACCTTATAATGAAGTCACGTTAAGGTCATCAAAAGTAGTTGTTTACATGGTCGACTCCTAATCAGAGTGTCGTCTTAATCACATTAAAACTCGAGTATCGGTGTCCATGTAAACATACTCATTGACTGCATCTTTACCGCACACACACTGCAGACCTCATGTGAAACTGGCGTGAGGTTTGAGGTTTCTGGTTTCTCCATTTCAGGACGGGGTTGTGCCATGCTGCTGGTGGGTTTCAGATTCCTCCTGTTGGATCAGGACGGGGTTATGCCATGCTGCTGGTGGGTGTGCTCTGGGTGCTGCCGATGCTGGCGTTGGCGCTGCTGTTCTCGGATGGAGACGGGTGGGTGGGCACTGGCTGGCGTTTGGTCAGACCACACGGGCATCCGGATATGGAGAGGACTGGACAAAACACAGAGCCAATGAATGAGCGCAATCAAGAGAAACAAACACAGCAGACTTCCCTGGCGACTATCAGATGAAGCCATCGCAGCGTGGAGAGGAAATGCACTGGAAGTGTGCTGAGCGGAGCCAAACCATCGAGTGCCTGCTGTAATACAGGTATATTTGGCATTCTGGATTCAACACACTTGCTCCACACTACCAAAACATTGACAAATTAAATCCTATGATGCTCCCTTTCTACATTTCAGGCTTTCTCAGCAGCTAAAGTCATCATAGTTGGTACACTTAAAGCGCACTGAATGGGAGAGAGCCACATATAGTGCCTATATCCTCACACCCCTATGAAATAACGACTTTATTTGTTATACAACCTGAAATTCACCTTCTAATTAACTTTTAATTTAATTAGGCTTCTCCTAACCTGTGCTTTTCTGCAACTTTATCCTGAAGCTCTTTTAAAAGCAGGGTGTAGTGTGAATATATTGTCCCATTCACCATGCTGTAAGTTTACCAACTATGATGTTATTTGATATCAGCTGGTTTTCTTATGGTCTTAAACGTACAGGACTCTTGCTGTTTGTTTATTTTATTTTATTTTACTGTTTATATAATTTTATATATTTGTTTTTTATTTCCCATTTGTAGTTAAAAAAGTAAACAATGCACCTATTACACATTGATCATATATATATATATATATATATACAGTTGAAATTATTAGCCCCCCTGAACTAATATCCCCCATTTATTTTTTCCCCAATTTCTGTTTAGTAGAGAGAAAATTTATTCAACACATTTCTAATTAAAATGGGTTTTAAAAAAATTAAAACTGCTTTTATTCTGACCGAAATAAAACAAATAAGACTTTCTCCAGAAGAAAAAATATTTATCAAGCATACTGGGAAATTTTCCTGAATTCGTTAAACATCATTTGGGAAATATTAAAAAAAAAAAGTAAAACAAAATCAAAGGGGGGCGAATAATTCTGACTTCAACTGTATATATTTATATAACCTTATCGTTTGTATTGTTTATTTTATTTTCTACTTATTTAAATGTCCTTTTGTCTTCTTGTGTTGATTTGTATGCACTGTTTGTATGTATATCTACCATGAGGTAATAAAATAATAAATTAAATTTATTAAATTAAAAAATCCTTGACTGTTTGTGCACTCTTGGCAAATAAATGAAAAAAAAAAAAAAAAATATATATATATATATATATATATATA